GGGAACAGGAATCAAGTGGAAAGCTCCAACGTCAGAAAGTCGAGGATCAGGTTGGCCACACATGTTATGCGATGTGACAACAGTCGTACCTGGGCGTTCGGGACAGCAAACGAATTCCAAGACGGCAGCCAGCGCTATGGTCTGACTTTTTCACGAAAGCTCTAAACTAGAGAAATGCTATGCCTAACATCCCTCGAGCGTGGATCTACTGGACCACTCTGGTTCGCGACAGGAACGAGTGACGGCGCTACTGGCGGCCACTCAAGAAAATTCAATAGCAACGAGATGATACGAGTGACAGAGGGCACGGAGATTTTATCATTTTCTCAATGAGCTCATCGCCACTGCATAACTGCAGGAAGTAAAGGAGTTGGTTTAGAGTTGTGTCGCAGAAATCTTACCTTGTGGGTCACTATCAACATTGATCGGCGAGTTCAGGAGAAGTGGCACACAGACAGCGACAAGCCACACTTTCCTGAACGGCAAGAACTTTGAGACATGAAAAATATCTATCTGTAAGATTCGAAAGATGAGTTCAAGTGGGGATTTCTTTCGAAACTATGGGGCATGCAGTTCTGTTACGGTAACATCAAGCGGTGGCAAAATTTGTCTCTTCTGCTTCATCAGTTCCACTACGTTTAGAGATAACATGATATTAGGATAACTCAATTCGTATACTATGAACGCACAAAATGAGGTCTATAGGTTTACTTATGAAAAAATATAGGTAGGCTTGTTAAGCGGAGGCGGGTCAATATGAATCGGTGTCGGTGCCAGAGTTATGATTGGGGATACACCAAGGACCAATATTTGGCAGTACCAGCTGAGCCTTCCAACGGTCCGATCAATCATTTTAAATTCTTACCAAAACCCAACGAGATACGTGAATGCTGTATTAAATATGCCTTGGATCCTACAAATCACTTCAGAGGCTAATATTCTTTTGAAGATTTGTCACTACAAGATTCTTTTAATAACACCACAATTTTAGCTGATTATTATGCCCTGGGAAGGTGACGTTTCATCGAAGAGTGAAGCCAAAACTTGATATCTATGCTAACTGCTTTCTATTCTGCTGCCTTTTATCTTTGCCTGGGTCTATAATATGAATAAAAATCGAACAAGCCAAAAAATTCAGTTTGCTCGACTCACCTCATAGATCGATAAGGAATAACGACTTCTCGCACCCGATAGCGTTTCTTTTCATTAGGGACTGAACACGTATAACGAAAGTTTCAGCAGTTCATACAATGAAAAATGCAAGGTGTGGAAACTTATACAGTGAGAAAAGAAACGAATTGAACATTTGAAGGGATGGCTGAAGGCAAAAATATGTACTCTGAGCAGCAACATATATCAGATTAACCTTTTAAGCAGATCTGGTCTCTAGATCAAAATAAATAGAAAGTATTGGAGACTAAAATAAATAGAATAAATAGAAACTTCTCTCATGAGCTGCCAGTGATGCATAATAAAACTGTGCTATACGATAAATTCAGACCTGATTTTTTCCATGCTGACGGTGACCTTGTAATTGAAAAACAGTTTCACCCATGTGCTCATTTTGTTCTATGATCGTCTGAGCAAATGTTAATATCATCTTGCTTTCCTGCGATTCAGTTCTCATGCATTGGAATACTACAGTGTTGTGGGATTCGATTCAGTTGGTCAACTTCATCTTGCATTTACAGAATTCGCTTCACAATAATAGCAGCTCCATTGCAATGACACCAGTGGATAAATAATTATGTACTCGTACATAGTTCATCTCCTTTACCAACGTTGACTCCTTTTATTTCAACCGGTCATATCCATGCCCTGGGTTATGAGCTGAGATTAGTCCGATTTTCCTAAGTGTGTTTACAGTGGTACCTTTAGGATCAACATGGAGCAAATCCCGAGTTCGGATCGTATGAGCTCCTTCTACTGCGTACATAGTAATAAACATGAGTGGTATTTTACGTGGGCCCCTTGTAGCACATAAAATAATTTCCCTGAGCATCTTAAAAGCACTTTAGACGCATCATTACTCCTTGTAATATGGTTATCAGCTTCTAATCCTTCCCTTTTACCTACCCTAGCGAGTAGAGAATCAACTGCTTATCTACCCGTTTCGATGGTAAGGGTAAGATGCCTCCCAGAAGATATAATTTCGAATGTAGTGATATCNNNNGATATCACTACATTCGAAATTATATCTTCTGGGAGGCATCTTACCTTGTCACGTTGAAATCGCTCGATGAAATTAAGATAGCTGCAAAGTTACGCTGAGTATTGCAAAACTAGGCAAGCGTAAAACTTCCTGATCTCGCGCCACTCACTGATTAAAAGCTGGTCTCAAGTAATGTTTTCATCAATTGGTAAGGATTATTTTTGCTTATGCTTACTAGGCTAAGTCGCTTAGGGGATAAACTACCGTATATGCAGCGTGATGAGAAGCGATTATCTATGGCTAAGCATAATCATACCATATATCTTTGATACCACTCAGAGCAATGAATCTCTACGCGCGTGTGTCGTAGTTACCTGCCCGTTGGTCACAACATATCAGCATCGGCCAATACTTATTAGCATGAAACTTCTACAACGCGAACTCGTTCTTCATTTTTTATTCGCAACATTTACAACGACGCTTTAGAAAGTTTGTCAACTTGTTGCATATGCTTTTCTGAAATCCCTTCGTCTTTTTAAATAGATTAGACTATAAAAACTGTCCCCGTCAAGTAGAATATCGAAAGCCAAAATGTTGAAGTCTTTCATTCAGTTGTATCATTTGATCTTTCTCCTTTGTTTTCAAACCCACTTTAGCTGTGCAATTTCTTCATAAACTTCTTGCAAATTAGAGTTACTGCTCATTCTAAGATTGGTATGGGACGTCAAATACAATTTCGCAACAGAGGAGCAACATGTAGAGCGAGGAATCGAGCATTTCATAAAGTACTGTCTTCTTTACTGAGAGAGTAGTGGATTAACTACTGCATGAAATTCAATAATCAAGTTTTTCGGGCTAGAATCTTAGGAAGCTCGTTTCGGAAAAGCCCACGTATGTTGAATTGATAAACCCACCTTTGATCACAGCTGTCTCTGCTGCTCTTCGTGTTATTTGTCAGCATCTACTGTCCACAAGATTTTCAAGAAGAATAGGGTAGAAGAACGCTCCATTCAGTAGAAGAACGTTCGGAGTGTTATCGTTTCACTAGAACGGAACTTATAATTGGGAAGCTCTTGGGCTAGTCCTACGAAGTTCAGGGCTATACTCTCNGAGCAAAACGATTATGCTCTCTTTGAAGTAAACGGTTGGGGAAATTTCTAAGTCTGGTGTCATGAAAATTATGTTCTGTTGCTAATGTCGCCGGAGGAACTTACTTACTACTAATATTATAGCATAACTAGACAATTATTTTCGAAAGATCATGTATTTGTCAGAATAACTTGAAGGTAACCATGAAGAAGAAACGCTCGGTACAAAAAATCATGAGAGTGTAGCCTTCCAAGAGGATAACACCAGACCACACCTTCAGCCACTCAGCGAAATTCATTTGAGATTAGAAATGATGTTTGATGTTTAACTGTTTCTTGTATATAGTACAAGTATACTATCCTCAGACTACATTTCAAAATCTGCTATTTATTTAGTTCCCCGTGAAGGCTGCAAGCAGAACTTGAAGGATTTTTCTGTTCCAATTTAGCAGCGCTCTATAACGTCAGGTAGTATACACCGTGAAAATTTATCCAGTGGCAAAGAAATCATCTAGTGAAATGAGTTTCTTTTCAGAACTTTCCCTAGTCCAGTTTCACTGGGGAAGTTTTTATAAGAGCTTTTTGGTACACTTACAATAGCATCCCTCGCGCTACTTCAGGAATTGAAATGTTGAACCTTAACTTATTTAACAAAAGGAGAGTGGCAAATGATTTAGTGATGGTGCACAAAATTCTTGTGGGCACAATCTCATCCTATTCATAGGAGTTGTTCTCCTTTAAGCCTTTCAAAGCTAGAGGCAATTCAAACAAGTTATGCTTTGCTCTGGTTGGAACCTTATTAGGAAAGCACTCCTTTACTCATTGAGCTGGTTCAGGGTAGGTTAAGCTCAGCAAAAACGCTAGTTGCTTAGTCAATTTCCCAAGGTGAACCGAGAACTTTTCAGTTCCTCAGGAAACACATCTAGTTGTTACCTTAATCGCTATTGTTCTTATTGCCCCTAACTTCTGTGTGATCAATATCTTCTAAGTAGCGCTCAAAAGTATTCGGCCAAATGCTTCTTAGGTCGTAATTTCAGTCGTAACTCCCTTCCTTCTGGATCTAATCATACGAAATTTTAATATGTGTGGCATGGGTGTATTTTGAAAATTTACCATTATCAACCTGCAGTCCGATAATGTTCCAGATATCCCAAAGGGCTTGAACTCAAAATGAACTGGAAATACGAATGATGGTCCTTTTGGAATTTCTTTCCTTTTTGCCATGTCTGAAGTATACGAGCGCTAATGCAGAACTCAGTAGAGGAGAAAAACGCACATAAGGTGCAAATAACTGCAGATTTCACAAACTTGCTTTACATAGTTTACAAAAGACTTCCCCTAACTTATGTGGCTATTGCTGCTTTGCAGTCAAATAGTGTTGGATAGCGTGAAATACGCCTTAGTTAACATATCAAAATTTCATGCAATTTGGTCCACTGAGAAAAAAGTTACGGCCGAAAAATTGCTTGGCCGAATACTTTTGAGCTTACTGTATATGTTTTGTGTCCCATCAGTTGTTCATTGATGTTATATCTGGTACTAAGATTTGGTTGCGCTTGTTTGTTTTGAGGTTTCTATCGCATGTTCCTTGAGGGCATGTAATATCCTTGTATTTCAAATAAGCACGGGCTTTTTGATTAACTCAATACGTCCTTAGACAAATCCGTGAGAGGAGATTTAACGATGATCGTCGTACAACTCTACAGGACATCAGAAAAATTCATATAAGATGACTTGAAGGTTAAAGTTTAGGTGGACCAATGCTGATTATTGTACTGGTACTGTTGACTGTGAAAAGTGTGACAGCTGATGGCGAAGATATCCATCAAACGGACGCTAATGGCAATGTCATTGAAAAGGGATCAACTGCATACCAGGGTGATGCTGACGATATCAGCGCCCTCGTAGATAGTAAAGGTCGGTTTCCTAACAAATCATCTTGATACTATTTATATGCGCTGTTAAATGCAATGTTGTTTCGGTTACATAGTGTCGAACATCGACAACGTTAGCCACAGCGTACTGAGTGAGATTTTGCTTGCGAAGCCTTGGAAGCTTCGCATGCTGAAAAGGGACACATGCAGTGGCATCTTATCCTTTCGCAACGTTTTGTGAAGCTTGTGCTCATATGTCTCTTATTTATCCAGTGTTAGGTCAAACTTGTTGAAAACGACCCCTGCGAAGTTTGTAGAGCACAGAAAGCAGATGGGCGACTTTCCCAATTCGCCAACGCCTCCTCTCTTCTACCATTCTTACATCTAGTCTTTTGCCATGAAATCGGTAACCCGCTTTCAGCAAGTACCATGTAAACAGTACGTAAGCAGTCAAGTCAGGATTTGAAGTAATTGCGTGGGAGCTCTTCAGATGATTTGCTATCTGGAGCGTCTGCTGTACAATTCTGTATCAAAGTAATAGCATGTCTGATTGTGGAAAGGAAAGCTCACGACTTATCTACAGGGCCTGAGGTGGTAGGTAGGCAGGTGGGCGTGGCTATCAAAAATAATCGAGCAGAACACGTTAGTCATCTTCTTCATTGCCTTTTAGATGCTGCTGATTGCTCAGCGAGGAATAAACAACTTTCAAAACGAAATTGAGCATGAAGTAGTTAATTTACACATTCGATTCCGCTCAGCAGTTGTAAAGGGAATTTGAAGCTCTAGTTAGTGAATGTGAATGATCTGTTTTTTTTTCGAAATTAAACGAAGAGCATAGATTCATTGCTGCTGAGACGTGTTCTGGAGACATACTATATCCACACGTTGCTTCACTGCACTTGTTCGCCGCGGAAACAACTGCATGGAAGAAGCTAGGGGAGTAAAATCGTCTTCGGGAACTCACGAAGTACCGAATGAGAAGGATGTGAGGCTGCAAGGGGGAGATATAATCAGGGAAGCTGCTTGAGGAACTAGACTACCATCAGCTGGGTTTAATTCACTCTCATAGAAGGCCAGTGGAAAGACTTGTCGGCAAAGTTGCAGTATGGTGCTATCGTTGAACTCTTCGTCGATGTTCTAGGAAGCGAGTTCATTGACGATTTATCAGAGGACGCCCTTCGCCATATACATTACTCCATTGCTGCTGTAAAAGAACAGTCGCGGTCCCCCAGAGGGTTCGGTACGGTTGATCGTACCCAACAAGAAGTGTTGAAGTGCCACAAATTTCTGTTCTATGTAGTAATCAGATGCTGCGGAGGGTCTACTCTATCAGCAGCGGAAACCACTTTCCGATCTATAAAAAGATGAAGGTTAAAGTCTTAAGGCGTTAATCAAACCGTCCGAAGGATGCACCATCGCATTCGACCTCCATTCAAAATCGTAGTGGCGGGTTGAATGCGTATGTGGCCCACCCAATGACTTGCGGCGGTCAGCCGATGTACAATTCAGTGTTTGTATCCTCTCAGACGAGCCTGGTGCCAATCAAGCGATCCTGAAGGGGTGGAAGGCTTGGCTGGCTTGGAGGTATCGATGCGGGATTCGAACCCATGAATATGTGTTGTGTGAAGTGCACCACTTGCCCCAACACCACCAGCTACACCCTTTTCCGGTTGTACGGAATGAAATAATTCACAGTTGATAATATGTCCACAAAATGGGCCGAGTTGTTGCAAATGCTGCAAGCCTTTCCCCTAGAATTGTCAAGAGAAACTCCACTTACGATCTTGCTTTCCACTACTCTGGGGTGTCCTACAACTTCGATAGAGAGCAACCCGATGACGGATGCCTTACCTGTCCTGTTAAAACTAAAAAGGAAAAAAGTTTTTAGCTGCATATGAAAATAGTTACATAGCTGCNCTGCGGCTTATGAAGGCCTTAGCGGCACAAATAACTGAGAAATAATGAACTGAGAACCGCGTTAGTTCTCACACTTTCCCTCATCCACAGGCCTTTAAACAATTTCCATGAGCCCCTCATTCACTTTTACTTTTCAGGACGTATTCGTATCAAAGTGGGACACATTGGTGCATTGAACGCCCTACGCAACGACGCTGTGGTTTTGGAACTGTCTCGGAGATCGCTCCGTAATGAGGGACTTCTTGACGATAATTTCGATGTCGAGTGAGTGAATTATAACGAATGTGTCCCTGTTCCAAAGTTGTGTAATCAGGCTTGTATCACAAAATGGTTGTGGTGAATCGTATGAAGGTGTCGCCGTGGCCGCCGACATGTATCATCTGCAGAAAGTGAAAGTTTTCATTGGCCCTTACTGCGATGCAGGTACGTGTTTCTTGATAATAATGTACAGTGGATATTGGGAGAGAACGTTCATGGGTGTGCACGCAGTTCTCAGTAGTGCTTAGCACAGAAATTCCAACTAACGTGTTTGATTGTTGCAGAAAATGTGTTGAAATCTAATATTTATTAATTGTCATTGTCATTAATTTAATTTAATCATGCACATTCCATGGAAAAAA